CAGCTCAGGGGCAGGTCGGCCATCCCCACGACTCCGGCAGGTCAGATTTCCCGGAACTCCAGCGACCAGAGACACAGAGGGCCCGCCCAGTACCAGGGGGGGTTCTGGGGGAACTGCAGTGGGAGATCTGGGGGTCAGGACTGAATCCTGGAAGCAGAGCCTCTGGGCCTCTCAGCTCCACCCCACCCCTCCCCGGGGTCCCTAGACTCTGCTGCTCCCAGGTGGTCCTGACTGCCCCACTCCGGCCCCCAGCCCAAACTGGGGGGGTCCTCACCCATCACGTGCAGTTGGGCTGGTCGAGACCGGAGACCTGCTTGCGAAGCCTGGCACTCGTAGGAAGCTTGGTCCTCCATCTCCACGGGCTTGATGTGGAGATCATGCCGGCCACTGGCAGCATTCCCCGATATCCAGTAGCGGGACCACCCTGGAGATAGCAGAGATCATGCATGACTCTGAGCGCCCGGCTTCAGGTCTTCATCCGCAGGCATCCCGCACCAGGGAGCGTGGGGGAGGGGAGGAGGGGGCTGAAGAGCCGCACACTCAGTGCTGAAACACCTTTAAAAGCATGTCCTGGGGCAGGGCTTGGCGGTGCAAGCCTTTAATCCCAGCATTCGGGAGTACGAGGCAGGCAGACCTCTATGAGTGTGAGGCCAGCCTGTTCTACACAGGGAGTTGAGGCTGGCCAGGGGTACACAGTGAGAGCCAAACCAAAACAACGACAGAGGGGGGAAAAGTGTGTGCTGGGTCCAGAGAGGTTCTAAGCCTCCTGCCAGTTTATAGTCGCCACAGATTTGGAAGTGAGAAAGTCAAAAGGGAACACAAGGAAACAATTCCCGTTAAAGTTAGGTTGGGCTAGGTGGGGGCACGCCTGTGATCCCAGCACTCAGGAGGCAGAGGCAGGAGGATCTCCGTGAGTGCAAGGCCAGCCTGGTGTGCTAAGTGTCTCGAAAAACAACACCAAGAGTACCGGTCACCTACCAGAGAGGATAGTAAAAGGGGGCGGGGCTTCTGGGGCGCTCACATTAACCTGAGCATTAATTACACGACTCTATAATTATTGGCAAAGTGTCCATGCATTTATATTATGGTAATCCCCAAACACAAGGAATCACCTCTGTTCAGAAACAGTTATTTCAGCCGGGCGATGGTGGCCCACGCCTTTAATCCTAGCAGGAAAATCTCTGTGAGTTCGAGGCCAGCCTAATCTACAGAGAGATTTCCAGGATAGCCAGAGCTACACAGAGAAAAACCCTGTCCCGAAAAACAAAACTCCACCACCACCAACAAAACCCCACTTATTTTAAAATTCAAGATTCCCAAATATTCTCGGGAGCCCCTCAGTCTCCAAGACTGAAACCGCCGCCGTATGCAGCCCCCGCCCCCCGCAGCCCCGGGACCCCGAAGTGGGGACCAGCTCACCTGGAAGGTCTCTTTCGCCCCCTAGGGCCAGCCCATCCTTAGTCCACTGCACCAGCCCCCTGTATGCGCCCAGAGCGCAGGGCAGCCGGGCTTCCTCCCCCAGCAGCACCACCATGTCCTCGGGCTGTTGCAGGAAATGGGGCGATGGGCCTAGGAGAAGAGGGACAGTACAGCTGACCCAGGGCGCCCAGACCCCAGAACCCTCCTTCCTCCCACTCAGAAGAAGCTCCGGCTTCCGGAGTTCTCTCTCTCCCCGCCCTCCCGGGGTACCTGCACGTCCCCTGAAGCAGCAGAGGAAAACGAGGAGGGCGGCGGCCAGCATCCCGAGTGTGTGCACCCCAAGATCCCGCAGACTTAGGGTTACACTGGTCCCCCTCCAACTTCTTCCTCGATAGCACGCCTCTCACCACCACGCGGGCCTGGAACCGCTCTCTGCGCTCCAGTCTTCCCTCCAGGCTGGGAGAGTCTCCGTCTGGCCTAGAGCCCCCCGAAACGTGGCTCCTCCGCAGCCTCCGTGCCGCTCCCGGGTGCCAACCCCGGGTCTGCGAGGGACCCGCGGGGAGGGCGGGATCCTATTGGCGCCGCCCCCTGGAGACCCGCCCTCTTCCCATTGAGAAACCGCCGCGGCTCGCCCGCGGACGGCGAGGGGCGCCCCCGCCTTATCGGGGGTCTGGGAGCCGGAACATCTGAGTCCAGGGAGGGGGGCTTGCTCGGGTTGGCCACCTGCGCCCTGCTGAGGCTGAAGGGGGGGCGGGGACGAGGAGGAGACTAGAGAGAGCGTGGAAGAAACTTGCTCATCCCGGGCCCACGAGGGACTTAGCTGAGTGGAAACCAAGCTATAAATGGGAAGCCCTGGGGGCTCGCCGGTTTCCGAGCCCTGGGGAGGCGGGGCGCGGGCTCCCGTGAGCCTGCGGGTCGGGGAGAGGACACCCAGGTGCTGGAGGACCACTTGGGAGCCCTGAGAAAAGAGAGGTTCAAGCTGCCCGTTTCCCAAAATACCTCCCTGCCGCCTTGTCATCGCTGCAAGCCATGACATACCCTAAGATCCAGGAATCCACCCCCCCCCCCCCCCCCCCCAACCTCCTGCTTTCCCAGGACCCCGCAGTACCCACCCGTCCCCTCTCCCCACCCAGCGGCCCCGGGCCCATCCGAGCGGTTGCCGGGCGACGGCTGGGAGGCGGCAGTGCCCTGGCTCCGGCAGGCCGGGAGGCTGGGAACCGCACAGCTTGTCCTGACAGCTCCGGTGCAGCCCAGCTGGGGCGTTCCCACGCTGCGCAGCTGGCAGAGCAGGTGGGAGGGACCCTGAGCCTACTGACGGGGCTTGGGGGGCTGGGACCCCCGGCCTGACATTCCCGGGCCTATCGTGACCAAGCGGCACCCAAGGCTCGGCCTGGTCCTTCTAAACCAGGGTTAGACGTGCAGGGAGGGGCTGGTTCAGACCTCTGCTGGCCGAGAAGCCTTGCAGCCTTCAGAATGGTGCAGTTGGGCCAAGTTCGGAAAATCTGGTCTTTAAGTCTTAAAGCTACCGGATTTGACAAGCGATCTCATTCTCACTCACCCCCACTGGCCAGGGAGGATTGGAAAACCAACAGATTGGACATCTGTGCTGAGTCTTCCAGAAGCGTTGAGGGATTGAGGGCTGGCGGGCTGGAAAAGATTCCTGGGGGCCCCCCCACACCTAGACCTGAACTCCTGGCTTCTGTGCTGTAAAACAGGACAGGCTTGAGACCAGGGCTCCTGGGTCCTGGGGAGGAAGTCGGGTGACGAGGCTGTTTTTCCAGACACCTGACACAGCTTCCCTTTCCTGGCCCTCTGGGGCTCCCGGCATGGAAAAACGGAGAGCTTGGGGCCCCCGGAGCGTTCAGAGAAGGAACACAGTAAAGCTGAGTTAATTAAAGGTTCCAGCTCTGCACTTTGACCCCCGGGGATACCATCTGGTAAAGGCCCCCTGACACAGCCTTCCTGGTTAGGTCTGTACGCTCGCAATCCGTTTCCCCGGAGGTGGTGATGGGGTCAGAGAAAGAAATGGGGGGGGGAGTCCAGGGGGTGCATCCTTGTAGACAGCTGTGGGGGAGGGACTCAGGCCAGATGCCCAGACTGCCTCTGGGAGCAACGGCAGCGGTGGGGTGGGAGGTTTGTAGGGGGTATGGGGCAAAAGCGAACAGTTGCAATTCCTGAAGGAGATGAGCAGACGGCAGGGGCCTGTCCCCCAGCGAATGCATCTGTGCACCCAGGCTGGGTGCAGGCCAGCCAGCATATGCTTCTAAGATCCAAGGATCAGAATCAGGCCTCGGAGCCAGGGAAACCGAGCGAGGAAGGCACAGGGGCAGGCCGACTGAGAACAAGCATATAACGAGTTCCTGTTGCTGAGTGACAGCGGAGGAGGACAGCGACAGTGACAGAAACGAGAAGGGGAGGGGGAGGAGGAGGTGGGAGACGGAATCAAAGATGCAGGGAAGAATGAAAAGATAAATCATCCTGGCTGGAGACTCGGAGAGAGAGAGGAGAGATGGCGGAGTTCAGGAAAACAGGAGGCCTCTCACAGGGCCTCGGGCTTCAGGTGTTGCGGTTTCCAGAGGCCCGTGCCCTCTGTTTGCCTGTGTCTGAGCTCACCAGGTTTGCACACGCTGAGGCCTGTGGACACGGTGCTTCCTGACTGTCCCGGTGCTCTCTGCGCACACAGCCAGACACTCCAGATGCGTTCACAGGTGGAAATCCACTCTCACCCCCGGAACGAGAACACTCTCACACCCACATGCACACAGTTGGTGTCCCTCTCTCCCACACTCCCCTGGTTTAAAACCACACCTTTGCACCTTCGCCAGCAGAGGTGCCTGATGCCACTGAGAGAGGGAAGGGACTTGCCACTGTCTGGATACAAAGAGCATGGATGACGCCGTGTGTGCGTGTGTGAGCGTGTGTGTGTGCGTGTGTGTGAGCATGCGTGTGTGTGAGCATGCGTGTGTGTGTGTGTGTGTCTGTGTGTGTGGTGCCCTCCCACCCACACAGGTCCTGCTCTGGGCTCCATCTGAGCTGGGAGATGGCCCCAGTCAGAAATGCTCTCCCAGGACCGTGGGGTCACCCGGGCTGGGGAGGCACCAGAGAATGTCCCTGGCATGTGCTGACAGGGGATTTCATTGCTCGGCTGGGCAGACTCGGGAAGGACTTGAGGGAAACAGCAGTGTGAACACACACTGGGCCAAGAAACAGCTCCATGCTTTGGCTGATGGCTTCCCGGGTTCATGAACCTGCTGGGCCCCGAGCAGCTGGTCCTCTATGAGTGCTGAGTGGGTGAAAGGGGGTGGCAATAGATAAGACAGAGGAACAGAGAGAAGAAAGAGAGAGAACGTGTGCGTTTTTGAGCACTTGGGGTTGGAACTCAGAAAGAACCTTTAACGGGGGGTGGGGGAGACAGAAAAAAAAAAGACTCCCAGACAGAACGACTGGGACAGTCAGAGACAATGCTAGCAGTCTAGGAAGAGAAGAAAGGAAGGACGGATAAGTCAGAAAAAGAGAGCTCGAAAGAAAAGCAGGAGACATACAGAGACGCAGGGAAGACAGCAGCAAACCAAGGGCCGGTGATGGATGCTAAGGCAGCCAGGGCCCGCGGTCCTGGGGTCACCCCAACACACGGAACTTCCCGCTTGATTCCCCTGCTGCTCCTGGGAATGCTGACGGCAGGTGAGTGGAAGCTGGCCCCGAAGTGCCACACGGCCCTCATGTGCCACCTTTGTCTCCTACCGTCAATCTCCTTGTGTCCCCAGGCCTGGCCCCATCACCAGTCCCTACCTCCGCTCCCCGAGGCTTCTGGGATCTGTCTGAAAACCTGACGGCCGTGGAAGGGACAACAGTTAGGCTGAGGTGTGGGGTCAGGGCCCCCGGCAGTGTGGTGCAGTGGGCTAAGGACGGGCTGCTGCTGGGCCCGAACCCCAGGATCCCAGGTTTCCCAAGGTACAGCATGGAAGGAGATCCTGCCAAAGGTGAGCGAGCAGGGCCTGGGCCCCCGGCCACCAGCGGAGGCCATGGTACTGACCTTGGGGGCGCCATCTCCAGGTGAATTCCACCTGCTCATCGAAGCCTGCGACCTCAGTGACGACGCGGAGTACGAATGCCAAGTCAGCCGCTCGGCCGTGGGGCCTGCCTTCGTGTCTCCCAAAGTAATCCTCTCCATCCTGGGTACGGGCGAGCACGCCCCTCTGGGACCAGTCTGCGCCCCAGCCCTCTTCCTCAGACCCGGGAGTCCGAGCTCCCGAGCCCCCAGCCCTTCGCTTCCGTCCAGCAGTGGTTTACCTCAGAGCCTTTCTCGTCAGTTCCCCCCAGGGAGGTTCGGTTGACCCCGGAGGCAGGAAGCACGGTTACCTGGGTAGCTGGTCAGGAGTATGTGGTCACCTGTGTGTCTGGGGATGCCAAACCAGCACCTGACATCACCTTCTTCCAGAGTGAGTGTGGGGGGATCGGGAGGGACGGCCCAGAACCGCTGGCCAAGTGTCTTTCCTGGGTACCACCGGGGCAATGAGGCCAACGTGGGATGTGCTGGGTAAGAAAGGGGCCTGTGGGGAGACAGCCGGGAGACTGCAGGGCGGCTGGTCTGGGGTAGGGAGAGGCGTCAGCACGCAGGTGAGCTGCGGGTGCCAGCGGCAGTGCGGGAGATCAAAGCCGCAGCTGCGGGACAGAGGAGGAAGGAGAGGCCCACGCCGCCGCCCTGACAACCCTAGAACTTCACAGGACCCCGAAAGTGGGAGGACAGAACTGGCACCCCAGCTTCCTGTCCCCCAGAGCCAGTGAGAGGGGGTGCTGTGCTCACCCCGAGGGCGTCCAGGGCACGCTCCTGGGTCTGCCTCAGAGAAAATGCAGCTTTCTTCTGCCCCAAGGTGGACGAGCTGTATCCGAAGTGTCCTCTACCGAGAACGAGGGGTCCAAGGAGAAGCTCTTCACCACAGAGGCCGAAGCCAGGTGCGCAAGCTGGGGGCCCTCCCTGTGCCCTGACCTCCAGGGGGTCCCGCAAGTGTTTCAGAACCCGATAACACAAGTGTGGGTTCTGAGTTGTAGGAATACCTGGACCCAGCCCTTTCCCCCGACTCTCAGAACTCCCCGGGGACACCCCCAGGTTGTAGGTATGAAGGGAAAAGATTTAGGCCAGGTGAGGGAGGACCTTAGGCACCCCGGGTTCTCACTGTTGAACCTTCAAATCTCTCCCCCGGGATTCCAAATCTTAGGATCATTCAGCATGGGGGCTGGGATGGCCACCTCTTCATCCTGGCCCCCCAAATTCCAGATGACGACTGACTCCAGGAACCTCTATTTTCCCACACCAGGGTGACACCGCAGAGCTCGGATAACGGACAGTTACTGGTCTGTGAGGGGTCCAGCCCGGCTTTGGACACTCCCATCAAGGCTTCATTCACCATGAATGTTCTGTGTAAGTGGGGGGGGGGGGGGGCGGGGGTTGTGGGTGTGGAGGACTTGGGAGCACTGGGAGATTCAAGAATGGCAAAAAGTCCAGGCATCGTCACCAGCCGTGGTGTTGGTTGTGTGCTGGTAACCCCTCATTTGGGAGGCGGGGGCAGAGCAGAAAGGCCAGCTGGGGCTGCTGAGGGCGGGGCTACGGAGCAGCACGCCAGAATCCAGTGTAGGGTGTGCATGGGCCCAGATCTCAAACCCAGCCCTGGAAACAAAAAGCAAACATTCCAGGGAAATTTGAGATTGGAGGAGGAGGAGGAGGAGGAGGAGGAGGAGGAGGAGGAGGAGGAGGAGGAGGAGG